AACACGTATGTACTAATAATTTACATATTAAATGTATATCCTGTACTATAGATTGTATATATATTTTGTTAACAGCTTTTCGAATGTCTTTTTAATATGTTTGTGTGATAAATTATGTTATACTTTTCTCATAATTATGTTACTCTTTACCGCCATACATTGTTACAACGTATTGGCGATGAACATGTATATATGTTTGTGCCAAATAAAATGTTTGTTCTGTTCTGTTCTGTATAACTTCCTGTACTGAGACAATGACACTCGGAAATTTCTGTAATTGATGTACATTATCGAGTTTACCCGAACATTATATGATTCTGTAGAACTTGTCTTAAATGAATAGTCAGATGTATATGTTTGTGTAGGAAAGAGAATGACAGAAGGAAATTTATTTTTCTTTTCCAAAATACTCCTAACTTCTGCATACGATCACTTTTTATGCTCACGTTATATATGTTAACGTACATTTAATAATGATAACTATGTTATTATATTATTATGTCTAAAGGCATTAAGGCTTAAAGTTATTTTATTTTGATTTACTTAAACACCATGTTTGGAAAAAAGAGCGTTGTTTTCTAAAGTAGAAGTTTTGAGCCTGTGGCAATTTTTTTCGCATGATTCACATAACTGTCTTCAGCATAATACATACAGTACTAATACTGTACATAAGTACCTGAGTTCCTTTATCATATGTCGAAGACTATTTTCGTTGTATATTTTATTTTCTGTTAAATATTACATACAAAACCCCATGCCGAAGTATTCACGTACGTGAACTTATTCGGTTATGTAAAACGGTAAACATTTAATTCCGGTTTAAATAATATCTGTGTGACTTGCTGGTTTATCAATAAAACGACAAAATTTCGGAAGATGACATCATGAAAACCATGTACACCATATTTTTTACCGCGTTTACACCGATAGTTGTTCGTCTTTTTGATGGATAATTCTATTCTTAGAGGATTAAATGGTTTCTTCCATTCTTTTACATGTAACAAAATGAAAGCATGACATTTGTAGAAAGAAAGTCATATTTTAGATCGAAAATTGCCCGATAACAACATGGTGATATATTAATATATATTAATGATATATTCTTTTCATGTACAATGTGCTAAACAATCTCAGTTTTATAATGTATTTTACAAATCAGACAAATGTCAGACATGAATATTATTGTGTTAGATGAGACTCCTGCTTAGGATTATATCACCCCTCTGCCTTTTATGAATGAACCGGTATAATTTATTCCAGCACTTTTAAGTGTTGACATTTGAGTGGGACTAAAAAAAAAGGATTGGAGCACCACACTAAATACCGTATTCCGGTACATACCGGGCAAGGCGCTTGAATCATAAAATACTAAAATCTTGCCTTTTTACCCAACGGAATGAACTGAAATAGGCCTTATTCATCTTTTCACACCGATTCATATATGATAATGAATGAAAAATGTAAAAATCGGCGAAAAAAAACGATATTTGTCTATTTAGCGATCATGATTTCTGCAAGCGTCTAGAGGTATTGCTCCAATCCTGTATTGAGTTAAATCCTTGACATTTGAGTACCGCTAAAACCGGTGCTAGAGGCAGTGAGGGATGTTGGATTTTTAAAGTTATCCCTCATGTACATATTCAATCAAACAGAGTGTGAAATTTTCATGCAATTATGTGATTTTAATGCTTCCGAGACTTTTTTTCAGATATGTATGTATCACCACAGCAGATGTCACAGCTTTCCACAGCTTCATAGTACTACATGTGCCGTGTGGCAGCCGTAATTAGTTGCCTCGTACTTCAGTGTTGTTATATTTTTGTCTAGTCCTTAATCATTGATTTCCAGCGCTTTTAAGTGGCAGAAGTAACTGTTTCCGGGTAGTTTATCACTGCGAAAAAGACATGGATATACGGAAGTGTACGGAATTCCGTTTATCATTGATATACGTGTAAGAATACGGGAAACTTAAAATACGGAGATGTACGGGACCGTATATTATATCAGTCCGTATATGACTAGTATACGAACTCCGTACATTCGTAATATACGGGAATTTTGATGTACGAAGTCCGTATTTTACTAATATACGGAATTTTTATGACAAGTCCGTATATTACTAAAAATACGAAATTCCGTATTCGTGCAAATACGGATTCTGTATAAAGAAATAGCGAATGATAGCGTCAGTGCACAGAACGTGTAAGACATCCACATGTAGCATGCAGAAGCGGTATTCTAGCTCAATACCGTTGGGTAATAGCGAATACTTGACAATTGCAATTGACGATTAGATAGTACGTTTTTGTATTTTGCATCTATGGTGAATCATGTTATTTTGTAATTTCTTTTTCATTATCATTATAATATTTTATGATGATGAGCCAAACATGAGAAAATGATAAATTTAAAATTGTAATGTTCAAAACATGAATTAATTATATTGAAATCGTGAATCTGTGAAGCTGAAATCGTGAAAGTTAAAAAAATTGTGAAATCACCAAGATAAATTCGGGATTGTCCACACAGCATTTAAATTTTACTTTAATATATCTCCTACAAAAAATAGGCTATACATAATATAATACTTGTACTTTCATATGTAAATAAAATCAACAATGATATCTCATTCATTCATTCATTCATTCATTCATTCATTCATTCATTCATTCATTCATTCATTCATTCATTCATTCATTCATTCATTCATTCATTCATTCATTCATTCATTCATTCATTCTTTCATTCATTCATTCATTCATTCATTCATTCATTCATTCATCCATCCATCATTCATTCACTGAATCAATCAATCAACCAATCATTCATTCATCTATTTATTCAATTTTTCATTCATTCATTCATTCATTCATTCATTCATTCATTCATTCATTCATTCATTCATTCATTCATCCATCCATCCATCCATCCATCCATCATTCATTCATTCATTCATTCATTCATTCATTCATTCATTCATTCACTCACTCACTGAATCAATCAACCAATCATTCATTCATTTATTCATACATTCATTCATCACTCATTTATTCTTATATTTATTTATTTATTTATTTATTTATTTATTTATTTATTTATTTATTTATTTATTTATTTACTTAATCTCTTATTTCAGGAAACATAAAAATTTGCGTTTTTGTACACATGTTTTGCATAAAAATCTTATGAAGTTCCGAATTTCCAAATTTTGATTCTTTCCGCGCGGTCTCATTTATGACATAATATTGTGTAATAGCCACGTGCTGTATTGCGATAATCGAAGCCAATACTGATAAAGCCGGATATTGATCCGGATATTGATCATAAACGCAGCAGGGTATAACGAGTGTCGCTTTTCTCTGATTACGTAAGTCAGCGCAATTGGTGTTGAATGTCTTAACGGTAATTTTTACTGTTTATTTCTAATGTAATTCATGTACGAAATAAAGGAATTAAATTGTGATCTCATAATAGAGTCTCTATGTGATTTTGTTGATCCAGATATTATAAAGACTCGAACCTGACATGTTAAAATAAAACAGACATAGCTGCTGTATTCTTTCAAATGTTTTTGCAGCGTCGTGTTGTTGTTATCCTTTTATCTGGCGGAATTCGTCATTTAAACAAGACACAATTAAGATTTATCTTAAAGTAAATTTTGAAGTACCCTGCTGCCAGGTACAATTATATTTAAGTTAACAAGCTAGAATCAGATGGATGTCACTGGGGAGTATGTACATGCATTGTTGATTGATGATGTCAAATTATTCGAAATAACATTTCTTGAAAAATATCATCATCATCTCCCGAGTTTTCTCGTCTCCCATCAGCCGTGTTTCTGCATAAACGGTGACTTGAACAGGACAGGGGAACATGGCCGTGCTATGTAAATTAACATTTGTACCCTGATTAAAATAAAATTATGTATCTTTGAAACAGTTTTTGTATGAGTAAATTTCTGTTAAAAAAAAATATCGTAGTTTGTTTTAAAAAATCATGTTAAGAACATACTAAATTATATATTGATAGTAAAATCACTTTTTAAATTGGACTTTCGAATTTTTACCTATACTCAAAATATTCTTAAACTGATAAAGTTTAATTTCAATTATGAAATCCGCAGATAATGTGAATGGATCTTTATATTTCAATTTTTTAATTTATTTTAATGACATGTGTAAGCTTATTTTACAAATCTAATTTTACAACATATCAAATATACCCGGCCCAATGGGCCTATAAATCACCTCCAATAAACATAAAATATTTACATAAAGTCATAAGTGATTATATGAGCCCTGCTATGACAAAACCAACATAATGGGTTTGCGACTAGCATGGATTCAGAACAGCCTGCGCCTCCGCGCAGTCTGATCAGGATCTATGCTGTTCGCTGTCAGTTTCTCTACTTGTAATAGGGTTGGTAAGATCACAGCATGGATCCTGATCAGACTGCGCGGATGCGCAGGCTGGTCTGGATCCATGCTGGTCTCAAACCCATTATGTTGGTTTTGTCATGACGCGGCTCATTATAAACAAACTCATTTGTAAAAATCATAGATATAACGTAATTTAGAAGTATTGTATATAATCATTGTGTAATAAATAGTTCATAAGATATGTGATTTATCCTATAACTGTATCTATAAATGCTTTGTCGTATTTCACAGTGTGAGAGAAATGTGAAGTCTGACCGAAACTTGAACCGGGGACTCTGATTGAGCTATTCGGCCGCTTACAATTCTTTTCCTGAACAGTGGCATAATCCCCTGCTTTATTAAAATTCACAGATTTACAGCAATATGCGAACTAAAACTCTTAAGCTATATGCAGCCATGGTGCTATCTGACCATTTTCTCCTCTTAATAGTGAACAGTTCTGAACCGTGACACATATGTCAATATTGTTCATGTACTAAAGTCAATAATAATTACAATTTTCAATGAGTATTTCATGTAATTGTATCACGTGAATCCTATCAACCAATCAGAAATAGCGCGGGCGAAATGAAAAAAGAAAAAAAAAACGCGATTGGAAATGGATGGTTAATAAAATTCAGAATATTGCAAAACAAGGTCGGTTAAAAGTTATTTTTTATCGTTGTTATATCACTATGCGATCAATAAAATAGTTGCATTTTGTGAACAACAGCTTATTTCAGGGTTAAACTGATTTGTTTTTAGAAAACTTTAACACTTTTTAATCTGTTTCGCTATTCAATATGGCCGCCGGATTAGATAATTAAAGCAGGATTATATCCCCAAATTTAGACTCTGAGGATACGAGTTTGATTTTGATTTCTAAACTGTATCTTGTTTAATAAATAATTTGTTTGAAAAATGCAAAAACCAAATAAAGAAAAGGTTATTTCTAAAATACGTTAATCATAACTTCCCTTAGGGTAAAAAAGACACCACGTTAAAAATTACGACATTTAAACATCGAAGATGTCAAGGTATTACAGCCCCTGGACATGGTAGTACAAAAGGATTAATCAGTGTGTGTGACACGACCTATGTATGCTTGATTGGTCAACTGATTGGACTTTATAATAATCTTGAGCGATCTCAATTATCACTTAAAATCAGGGGTGCGAGTCAATGCGCAATCAAGCAAGCTGAAAAGACACACTCAGATTCTATTTGTTTTAATAGTACTTTATGAACTAGATAGCCGAAAAATAGGTTATTTTTTATCTATTCAATTAGGGTATTTTGAAAGACCCTGATTCAAAATAATAACAACAATTATGAGATTTAACAGATAAGCATATTTTAAAAGAAAATTGTTTAGTACTTCTAAAAAATATGTTTATAAATTTTTAGATAAAGTTGTCTTTCTCAGTCTTGAGTTTTCAACGAGCAGAATACTTGTTTTATATTCACAGTTTTTATTTTTATACAAATCCCCATTATTTGATGCAAATATAAGTCACTTTAAAGACTCCGCTCTTTTCATTTTTATTCACTTTTTTTTTAAGTTTCTGTACACATGTTTCTATATATTTCTTATTTATATTAACTATATATAAATTAATACAAATCTGAAACAAAAATAGCAAACAAATATTTCTTTTTTCATTTATATCATCATACATTTAGATGAATAAAAAAAAGAAAATATTTGTCAGAATTTTTTATTTACATTAATACAAAGAATGACAGATAAATACCCTTGATGTCAAAAGATATGCTTATATTTACATTGATACGAAGCTTAGTGTCGGTGTAAGAATTTTAAAACTCGTGCATATAAAATATAGCAACGAACCAGAAGTTTTAAAACGGTTTTGTTTGTATTGTTTTAGCATAATTAGTAATTAGCAAGATCGAGTTTACTCGCAATTCAGGACAGACAACTCTTTTTTCATTCGATATTCTTGGTTATTTATCTACGTTGTTCAGGATAGCACAGATTTTAAATTGTATATACATGAACTGAGTTTTCAACATTTATATTGGATTTTTTATTGGACAAATAATTAAAATTTAAATATTTGTTTCTTATTATAATCAAAACATTTTATTTAGTTTTTAAGATAAACATTACGCATAAGGTGATATCGCATGGGTCAGTCACAAACACGCGCCTGTTTGAGGAAACAGTTATTAAATATTTCGTTATACATAAATTAACTGTATAGAGCCTTTGTACATCACAATTTTTTTCGTCATTCCACATTTTGACTTATATTTCACATAAAGCGATATGGTAACACACGCACGCACGAACACACAAACATACATAACATTTTAGAGTCTGGCATTTTCCCCGAAATCTGGACAAGAGGTTGTATAATACCATTACATAAAAAGGGAAATAAAGAAAATGTACAAAATTACAGAGGAATAACTTTATTAAGCCATCTTGGTAAATTGTTTACTAGTATTTTAAATCAAAGAATAACTAAATGGTGTGATGAAAATAATATTATCTCTGATGCGCAGTTTGGTTTTAAAAAAGGTAGTTCGACTACAGAAGCTGTTTTTATATTGCATTCTATAATTGAAAAATATTTGAACCAGAAAAAAAGATTGTATTGTGCTTTTATTGATTTAAAACGCTGTTTTGATTCTATATACAGGAATGCACTTTGGTTTAAGATGTATTATGCTGGTTTAAATGGTAAATTATTAAGAATAATAAGAAGTATGTACAGCTCTGTTAAATCTTGTGTTAAGTCCTGTGGTAACTATTCTGATTTTTTCGATATTTCGATTGGATTACGTCAAGGAGAGATAATCTCCCCAGTTATGTTTTCCTTGTTTATTGAAGATCTAGAACTCTATTTGCAAAATAACTTAAATTCTGGTATAGATCTTCAAGACATTTGCCTAATTTTACTTTTATTTGCTGATGATATGGTATTAATTGATGAAAATCCTCTAGATCTCCAAAATTCATTAAATAAGCTTCATGAATACTGTAATAAATGGGGATTAGAAGTTAATGTTAACAAAACCAAAATCGTTGTTTTTCGTAAGAGGGGTGGTTTAAGAGCAGGAGAAAACTGGTTATATGGTCAAGATAATATAGAAATCGTAAATGATTTTAATTATCTAGGTGTCACATTGAATTATACAGGAAATTTTAACTTAAATACTCAAACTTTGTATGGTAAAAGTTTAAAAGCCCTAAATAATTAAGTGGCAAATTTGAAAAAATATGAAACAAAACCAAAAATAGCCCTACAGTTGTTCGACTCTTTTATTGGTTCTATTTTAATGTATGCAAGTGAAGTATGGGGTTTTCACAAATCAAAAAAGTTAGAAAATATTCATTTGAAATTTTGTAAAACTATTCTTGGTGTTAGAAAATCTACTAGTAACGTAGCTGTGTATGGTGAACTTGGAAGATATCCGTTGTATATAAACAGATATGTCCGAATTGTAAAATTTGGTTTAAGATAATAAGTTCAAGTAATATTATTATAACTACAATTGTTAACTCATGTATGTCTGATATAAATATAGGGTATACAAACTGGTTTGCAAATGTACGAAGTCTTTTAGAAAAATACGGTTTTTTTTGATGTATGGTTAAACCCTTTAAGCGTTAATCAAAATTGTTTTATTGTCGTTTTTAAACAGAAGATTAATAGATGAATATTTACAAGAATGGAGAGCTAGTATTAATTGTAATGATGTATTATTTTTATATAAATCAGTAAAGGACAGTTTTGAAATGTCACCTTATTTAGAAAATATTGTATCAAGAAAACTAAGAATAGCTTTGACAAAACTGCGTATTTCAGCTCATAATCTTAGAATACAGACAGGTAGATATTCACGTGAAAGAGTAGAGCGTAATTTAAGATATTGTTTAATTTGCAATACAAATGAAATTGAGGACGAGTTCCATTTTTGTGTTTAAGTGTCCTGCATATGAAAATTTAAGAAATATATATATTAAGAATTATTATAGAAATAGACCAAGTATGTATAAGTTTACTCAATTATTAAAAAGTGATAAAAATAAAGAAACAATTATGCTTTGTACATATATTAATGAAGCTTTCAAATTAAGATATCAGATTATTAATGCTTAATATGTATTTCAACCTACTTTTATGTATACCTAAACAGATCCAACTAATGAAAGTTTTATTGTGTATACTACTGTGTGATGTAATATCCATTATGCTTTAATATTTGTGTCATCTCTATTTTGTTTTGTCCATCCAATATAATTATTACGTTTACTTTCATGTCATTGTATTTTTCATGTCATTATATATGTATGCTTGTATATATGTTAATCACGAGAAACTTGTAGTTTAAGTGAAATAAACGTTCTTCTTCTTCTTCTTCTTCTTCATAACTACACATGCACATAAAAGTGAACACGTTCCTACAGTATTAACACTCGCACATGTGATCACTTATGAAATATTTTCAATGTGATCTTTATCAGTTTATGATGAAGTTATATTATGATTTTTTCAGGACAGTGTACAGCGTGTTTAAATCTTCCAGAAATGCAGCTGTGCCCTCTTAACAGCAATTATAGATGAAGCAAAGTATGGTAGCAAGTAATATAGATGTAAGTTAACGTATATAAATTGTTGTATTTTGTGAATAAAATAAGACAATTACACGGACGTACTGTCTGTAAAGAAGAGTTACACATACTGATATATTCCCATCCGTACTGACATCATGTATTTTAATCTTACCAAGGAAAAGTCAAATTTCCTTAATTACACGCATTTATTTTGACATGAATAAATGTGGTTAGTTATAGATACATTTGTTCTCTTTTATATCTTGTTGGTGGAATGATGTCATAAAATGATGTCAATTAAGGCATATAAGCATTTTGCTTCGCATTTGAAAATGCTAAAACATCCTTGCTTTTAATATGCAAAATCAAATATATAAAAATATATACAACTCCAACACACACAATTGTTTGATATTGATGCGCTGTGCATGCGACTTTATTATATTAAATTAGTTTTCTTTCTAAACATATTACTGTATCAAAAAAATATGTGTTTTCTTCTTTAGTTTAATCACTTTTATATATGTTAATGATAGTAATTTTTTTATTTACTACGTGCGTAAGCGATAAGTACGCCGCTTTGATAATGTGAGAGTGACTTAACATTTTCTTTTGTGCATGTACACTAAAGTTAACAACCTTTGTCTGACTAGGTAAAACAGGGTTTTCAGAAGCGAATATAATGTAAGATAAGAAACAGAATTGAAATGTCTTGATGGCAAAGCTAGTAAAGTCATTCGAATGTCATACACATTAAATTTTATCACGAGTTCGAGCCTCAAAAGTTGTCTCACCTTTTTATGCGTTTTTCTTACCATATATTTTTTAAATTTTACATTAGAAAAATGGAATTGGAATAGAAAGGTAGTTTTGTTATGATATTTAATAATTTAGATATACATGCACGGATGATAGTGATTTTATCCTGTATAGTGTGTAGTATGTAGAAGTCATAGTACTTTTGCAGTGCAGGAGTATTTCGCGCAAACGTAACTATAGTTAAACAGTCTGTGTACAGTATCATGCATTCCGTATAAATTTGCACCAACTTGCTAAAATAGGCTAAATACAGCTCCATTTAAAACAAAATGATAAGTTAATAGAAAATAGCACAGCATTTATAATCTTTGCAATAAAAAATACAAAAACTGTCTTACTTGATTGATAATTATAAAGCAATACTTTTGGGAAAAAGGTGCAATTCGAGCCTAGCTGTATTGCAGATATTTACCACAACTTTACCTACTGCATTACGCTGAGAGTTGGTAAATTTGTTGATAATTTAATTTATATAGCTAGCCTGTTTGAAGATAATAAACACAATATGATAGCTGTTTTAAACCTGGATGGTGGACTTGACCACCTCGTAATTAATTATTATACTAAACGCACAGTACTTGTGCGCACGTGAAACATATCATGATATGGCGTTGATACGTAAATGTTTCACGTGCGCACGTAATACTGTCGCATTCGCATGTATTAACTAAAATATTTCCTATGTTATTTTATGCAGTTGTCACATATGATACGTATATTTCTGAATTTGATTTCATACAATCAGATTAGTGCTATAGGCAAGGGAGGATATTTTGATTTATAATTTTTGTGGGAATTATCACTTTATTTTTAGTGATGGCACACTGTAAGAGATTCTTTTGTCAACTAACCTAGTTAAAACAGTCTTAACAATAAAAAAATATTAATATACACTATGTATATTTGAAGGTATTCATTCGTTGCTGTGAAGTTGTGATGAGATAGTTTTTGAAACAATTGAAACTGAAACAAACAATAATCCAAATTTGTTAAGATTTACTTTTTTATATAAATGGGAAGTATAGCTGGGTATCCCGCCTTTTACTTAACTGGATATCATTGTGCAAACACGGATCTACATTTGAGTAGCAAAATATCTGTACATTTTAAACCATTTTTTTTTTCAAACGAATTGACTCCTACTAACGATACTAATATACATCGTAAAACGATCAAAAAAATTATGTCAGCACTTTTTCCCAATGCAATGTTATTTTGTTTACATATATTTTTAATAAATAAAATACTCTTTTACATAGAACAAAGATACCATTATAATTTATATTACAAGTGTGAAATAATATATTCGTAAGAGTTTCATAACAAAAAACATATAACTTATCATCCGTCAAAGATTAATCATTTCATTTAAATCCTGTGTTAATGGTTGCTTATAAATGACATCTTTATTCGAATGATATAAGATAATTTTGAAATTTGCGTAAGAAAAAAAATTGTATATATGTATACGCTTAAAAAAATGCTTGTGTATAGACTTTTTGAAAGTTGTGAAAACTATTTTATGACACTATTTAAACAGGATTATAAACTCTCTTTTTCAGATACACACGAGTATACACACATGCCGAAGAAGATTGTAATATCTGGAGAAAACATTTCCTACGTCACGAAAATACACACTGTCACACTGGCCTATAAGATGATTGATATATTAAAAGTGCTTTTAAGAACAGTGTTTGAATGACGAATTTCTGAAAATACGGATTTTTAATTTTAATGCTTACTATTAAAACTTTCTGTAATTATCAATTTGTGCCATGGACTCATTTTCCTAAAATAACATGTGAATGTTAACACAAGCAAATAATATGAATGTTCTTTTAAAATGTTTTATGGATGTAATATTAAGTGGCTCATATGAATCATTGTTAAGATAAATCGAAAGAACTTCAATTTAGCATAGTTTGTTCTAGATTTAAAACAACATGCAATTCATAAAGTTACGGCTTGAAAATATCGAGAAATGTACATGTATAATTCGATCTCTAAAGAAAATATCGCGGTGCGGATGTTCTACACCGTGATACGTATTTCATGACTCTGTATTGCAACATACCGGTATATCGCCGTTCCGTTGCAACGCTACATTAATGTGTCCCTCTGGAATAAGTATGACTATTGTAGCGAAGACATGTTTATTTGGTTATATATATGTATACATATTGAATATATGTTTATGAAATAATAAATATTAAAAGTGACTCGATTGGTTTTTACTTTATTATTTGAAAATACTCCAATTGTGAAGATATAGTTCATAAGCATATGACTTTACAGTTCCAATTCACAATGTGTAATCAAACATGTTTTATTGTACAAGCCTGCATTTCGGTCATGTTTACGTGTTACTTATATGTAAAATGCATGCTTTTGATAGTATCTGTACCTTCTTTTATCTCGATAATACAGTTCTGTATACCTGTGTACAACTAAAAAATGCAATTCCGTATATCCCCTGTATATAATTGAAAATACGATTCCGTATATCACCTGTATATGTAGAAAATACGATTCGTATATCTTCTGTATTATGTAGAAAATACGATTCCGTATATCATCTGTATATGTGGAAAATACGATTCCGTATATTATCTGTATATGTGGGAAAATACGAGTCTGTATATCATCTGTATATGTAGAATATACGGTTCCGTATATCCTCTGTATACGTAGAAAATACGAGTCCGTATATCCTCTGTATATGTAGAAAATACGGTCTCGTATATCCTTGGTATATTTATAGTATACTAGGGATAACAACCTTGATAAAGTCCGTATACGGGATTTTATTCTCCGTATACTTCAAACATACGAACAAATATACGTACATGTATATGGTGCAAATACGGAATTCCGTATATGCCTGATGCATATACGGACTTCCCGTATACTCGGTGTTCCCTATACGGACTCGTATACTTGGTCCGTATATTCGACAAATACATCCCGTACACGCCCGTATATGTCAAAAATACGGGACCGTATATTCCCATATATCAGTATATTTTTCGCAGTGTATCGGGAAACCCGGCGGAGTCCCCAAGAAGCTAGTATATTCCGGGCCTTACCTGCATTTGCCAACTTTGCTTCGTGTACATGCCACTACATGCATACATGTTTTACTTACTAGTTTTGACAATATACTTTAATGTTTCTCCAGTTGATTGTGAACCATATAATTAATAAAAGGTAAGTTGATTAGATGGGATAATCCTTCTTTTGCTGTTTACAATTATTAATTTTAAGGGTAGCGCATACACAGCTCTAATTACCGTCTTCATTTGCTTGTTAAAATTCGTATATGAACTTAAGTGTTTACCTTGTGTTCACTTTTAAAATTATAATTTCTGAACAGTATTTTATAAGATTTTTAACTTAATGTTAAAAAGGAATATAAAATTGTAGACTGCTAGGTTTTATAGTACGACGGCAAAACATTTCTACAATTTATAAAATGCAGCTTTAAAATGAATATCTTTAAAGATCCTGAATGTCATTAAGGATTGTAACAATATTTAAATGAAATCTTATTTATGTATCAAATTATTCTCCTAAATGAATTTCCAAAAATGTCGGATAATATGTTTAATAATGTAATACAAAATGCTAATACGCATTAAAGATAATCATTAAAATATATTTATTCATTTCTTATTGAATCATTTTGCTCAGACTTTATCGAACATAAAATTTCTAATTACCCCCCTTTATTTTCATTAAATGTAAATTCGGAATTCATGGTGTTAAGAACTTACAATGTTGATAAATCTTTACTTGAGCGTCATATTTATGATTTAAAAATGAGTTTCAGGATCTTTAAACAAAGACGCGATTGCAGAAATGAATAACTGGATAGGAACAAACCACTCGAATGCCTGTATTACTATAACTAAATAAACTTTGAAACAAAAAACATTGGATGATTTTGTGTGTTCATTTACTCAAAAAAATTTTATGATATATTTTGATATAGCTGTTTGTCATTGTTTGTTACTGTTCGTGTTTATTACCATGCTGAATATACAATACAGATGTAATCGGTTATCAGATAGGATCACGTGTGGACATTATGCTGTTAGTCACTTGGCTTCTTGATCATCTTGCTGTCTCCAAGGATTTTTAATTATTCATAACATCTAGAGCATGATAGAATATTTAAGATGTTCAAAACATATTCCATAATTACATAGGTGGTTTAACCACCTTACCAACGAAAGTCACAATTAATTTACCAGAGCACATTTCAGCCACCCACATTTTCTTGGACAGGCTGTCAAGCAGCTTTGCAGTACTACATGTAGTTGCATTCACTCTAAATTGCAACGTGCTGATAACTTCAGTACATGCTAGGGCAAAGGTACTATTCGAAATATGGTACGATCAATCACAGTGAAAATGACTTTCACCATCCGAGATTCGAACCCCGGGTATCCAGATTTACTTCGAGCCGAACGGTACGGATACTCTCAATTTCAAGCATGCGCATGTTTTTTATATTGACTTGGACTGCCTTCACCCTCTATGTCTTCATTATCTTTGCAGACGTTGGAATATGTAAGTATAATAATTATTGAATCAATCGTTGCTTACATTTTCAATATGTGAATCAACGAAATTATATGACCAGAGAACCACCGCAAAAAATATTTATCGTATCTTTCCTACATTAAATATACAATTGAAAATTCAAAAATCTGGAGACAAAGTGATCCCTCGGAAGCATTAATCACAACAAAATGTCACGAGAACTTCAGACTCGGTTTGATTGAGTCTGTACATGAGGGATAATGAATATGTGCAACATCCCTCATCCCCCCCCCTGGCACCGGCTTGAGCGGTACTCTATTCTTAGTCACAGGGGGTCTACACGGGGCGCGAAGCTAGATTTAAAGAAATAAAACGGTGCGGTCACAGGACGAAAACACGCTTATTAGCAAGGGCGCAGGCGAAGTTTAATAGATAAAACTTTGCCTCTGCTAATAAGAGTGTTTTCGTCAAACGACCCCGCCAAGCGAAAAGTCGATAAATAACAAGTTAAAATGGTGGGGCGCGTAGCGAAAACACTAGCGGGCGCTAATATGTGTGTTTTCGCTGTGCGCCCCGCCGTTTTATTCTTAAATCTTGTCTCGCTCATTAAACTTCGCCCCGCGCTCTTGCTAAATTAGCGTGTTTTCGTCCCGCGACCCCCGCCGTTTTAACTTGTTAATTCTAGCTTGGTGGGGTCGCGGCGAAAACACGAATGGCACAAATCAACCATCATAGTTTTACCTACGATACGAAAATGTCACAATCAAATAATCAATAAAGTATTATGCAGAAACTGTGAATATTATGAAAGAAACCCTAACATAAGTATCTAGTCAGTGAATCTAATGTTTGCTTATCAAACTGTTAGGGTCTTTTTCGGGATTAAAAGAATACGCACGATTTCATCGTTCTCTGTTTCTGAGGCGCTTGAACAAGTGTGCAGTCTCGTGCAACTTGGCCGAAATTTATTTTATGAAATCCCAATAAAAGTACATGTGTTTGTCATATATTTAATATTTGTTTCAGATATAAATGTTGTTATCCAGTTGAGAACTTATTCTTAAACTGATTAGATTTGATAGAATTAATGTACTGTGCCGCTATGATAATGTGAGATTGACGTTGCAATTTTTGTGTACAATCTTTGTCTGAATAGGTAAAACAGGGTATTTCGAAATTGAATATGATTCAAAATCAGAAAATAGAATTTGAAAAGTCTCAAAGTTGTTTAAAGTCACTAGGATGCCATACAAATTAAATTGTATCATGAGTTCGAGCCACACAAGTTGTCAAACCTTTTTTTCCTTTTTCTTTCCCTATTTTTATTTTTACATGAGATGCAAATTAATTGGAATATAAAGGCAGATTTGTTATAATTTCGAATAATTTATATATACCGGAAATAATAATTTTTATTCTGTGCAGTGTGTATTATTATATACAAGTACAATGTAGTACTTTTGCAGTGCACAAGTTTTTCGTGCCAACTTAACTATAGTTGAAACAATTTATGTACATGTATGCATTCCGTATCAGGTTGCACCAACTTGCTAGATATAGCAACATTTTTTAAAACAAAAGTGAAATGAGAAGTTAATAGAAAAAATAACACAGCGCTAATAATCTTTACAAGAAAAAAAGAAATTCTTAATCGATTGATAATTATACAAAACAATTTGGGACCGAACCTGGCTGTCTTGCATATGATATGTAACTAAAAATTTACCACACAACTTTACCTACTGTGTTACGCCGCCAGTTGGTAAATTTGTCGATATTTTAATTTATATGGCAAGCCTGCTTGACTTAAGATAATAAACACAACATGATAACTGTTTTACACCGTTAAAGTGGACTTGACCACCGTGCCACTAAATAATTATCCGAAACGCACAGTAGATTCAAATATATCAATACAGGTGATTAGCTACGGTATACGCACATTTATACAGATAAGTAATTTATTTCGACATGCATTTTCATCACGAACACTATTAAATAAACGATATAAAATCAAACATGTGTTATGCTTTCATCTAGAAGATGCGTATGATTTTTTCGATTTTCCTCACATTCAAACAACAGT